CGTGGAACCAGACAAAACGCCTCCCCGCCAGCCCCCCAGCAAAAACCATTCCCTCGACAGAACACAAGCCAAGGAGACGCAACGAGGCCCCGGTTTACAGTTCAAAAAGGCATTGAAGGGTGTAACTTGTGTCACAGAAAGCAGAAATACAGTTCAATAGGAAACAGTGACGTCTGGGATCAGCATTCCCAGCACATTCCCAAACGGTCCTTGTCCTCAGCAGGGATGCACTGGTCTCTCTGCTCATGCCAGGGCTTTGCTCACACTAACCAGGGAAGGAAACCATGGCTGGAAGGGAGCTTCGACCCGGCTCTGTTTGCCAACTCCTCCAGTACTCAGGGGGTGGCCACATACCTCGATTTCCACCACGTTTCCTTCACTGGCTCTTCCTGCTTGGCAATTCTTCCTTTACACAGGCTCGGGCTCCTCTCAGATCGTCTGTTGCTCTGTGCTTTGTCCCTTGGCTTCGGCATCCCCAGACGTCAGCGCTTCCCTGGGGAGAAGGGAAGGGGTTGAGAACGAGGCGAGCGGGGCAGCCGTCCCGGCTGGCATCTTTCACCCACCACATCAACCCAGCCACACTGACCACTCAACGCAGAGGGTGCAAGCACAACACGACGCGGCATCAAAACACCCAAAGACGGCAACAATCGCATCAAACGTTACCCAAAAGGTCGATTTTTTCCATGTTTCTCAAGTTAACAGCATGAACCAGAACCACCTGGCGCAAGAGCAAGAGGGGACGAGCTGCCCTCCTGTCCAACGGGCACGGACGGATCAGCTAGTGCAGGAACCGCGGGGGCTTTTTATTCCGTCCCCAAGGAGCACGGACACGGCGGCAGCGAACGGGAACGCGGGCGCTTCCCCAAGGCCCACCTTGAACCGAATTCAACGCAAATACTTCCAAATGCGGGAACACTATATTTATTAGGTCAATATTTCATTTTAGCAATACAGTTACAGAATATCACAATGCTGGTTACAAACATAGTATGGTTCGATGGTTACAAATAATGTCGGGCACTGCAGTCTGTGAGAAGGAGGATACGAAACGTTAGTCTTGACACGACAGGTAGGGTGGTCTCCAAAGTCTAGCAATGATCAAGATATTCTCATATAAATGACTGTGGCACTACAGGTCGAGATTCTGGTTTAGAGGTGTTTTTTTCATATAAGTAGCTGGATTTATACAGTTATACAGTTCAAGCAACAGCTTTTTTAGAATGCTATTAAATTAAAATCCCCTGTAGTTCAATAAAGTATAAAAATAGTACTGAGCCTGGTAATATTCAATAAAATGTAGAGTTCATTCACATCATTAAGTAGTAAAGAAATTGTAAAGTTGTAGTTACCATGGCAACATTGCTTCCCATAAAAGAATATACATAAGAGAGTTACACGTATATGGTACCTGCGACACTTATTTAGTGATCCAACACTGAACTTGTGCACCACAAACCAAGTTTCTAAATATCTCTATATATTTATATAGTATATATCTTTTTCATCTTAAAATTTACTTCTGGAAAAAAAAAATGTGCACTTCAACAAACTCACTAAGGCCACTCATGCTATAGATACCTAGGATTGCAATGAAATATTGTTAAACAAGACCCTAGAGCACGCACCTTTATATCACTGAAGGGAAACCTGTTTCACTGCCTAAAACATTCCTGAGATTTACAGACAAAAGCATTACTACTGCTGTCAGTTTTTCCATATATGGTTTATGTCCAGGTGAAGGAAATTTCTTCCCCGCTTCTCACAGAAATCCCCAAAAGGCCAAGAAATCAAACATGCAACAGGCCATTTGCATCAAACACGAACACACTCACAAGGAATATTCAGATTTGCAAGTAACATTTGGCCAATAATTTTCTTTTTAGGAAAACATGAAGGGGGGGGGGGGGAAAAGGGGGAAAACAGTGAGTTTTACATAAAATAAAAGTTTCTGCACAGACAGAGAAAAGAATCTTTGCTGAGAGACTGGTACCAGCAAGGCCTCCCCACACTACCTGCTGCCTCCCAGCAGTCAAATCCCATTTTCATCTATTGAGTAAAGTTTTGTCAATAGCTTCAATCATGTTTTAGGCACAATGCATTTTCTTTTTCTTTTTTTTTCTCTTTTTTTTTGTGTGTTCTACCAACCTGCATGACTATAAAAAGGAAATTAAGTCAAATGTGCATTTTCTGTACCATGAGAAGCAGCACAATGGCACCTTTAGCAAACTTTAGACTGCAGCACATTTAAAGGAAAACTTCATTTTTAAAGTTAAGAACATCGTTTTCCTAATAAGTTAGAATTCAACAACAAAAACCCTCCAAAATTCTTTAACAAAAACACTGTGTAAAAAATGAAACAAAAAAAAAAAACAAAAACAAAAAAAGAAAAGAAAAAAGTCTTAAACAATAGATATTTATACAAAGTAAAGAGTGCACATAAAGACTATGAAACAGAGGCAGACACTTGATGGTCATCACAAATATCATGTCATAAAAGTGACCAAGCAACTGCTTAGAGCCAAATAGTCACTAGTTGCTGTACTTCAAGTAACTGAGGGATCGACCTATTTGGAAACACCTTTCTGCAACTTTCCCCTTCCTCTTCTGTCAGCTCCTAAACGCTGCGTGTACTTGTGCCTTTCCATAAGCTCTAGCTGGGAAGAAAACCCAAAAGAAACCAAACCCGCAGAGCAGCCTGAGCCCTAACAATAGGGAAGAAATCCTGATGTCACCTTCTCCCTTTTCTTTGCCAGACTGAAAGGTTTGCATTAGAACATCAAAGTAACTGTCTCAAGCAGTTAATGTTAAAAAAAAACAATAGTAAGGGTTTAAATTTGAACAGTAATTAAGTGATTCTCCACCAGAGCACCATCTGTCCTCAACACTCGTGAGGAGTCACTGTAGTGTGACCAAATGACTTACCTTCGAGAGCGCAAATTCTGCAGCTGAATTTCACAGGCCTCCCACTCTCAGGTCTCCCTTTTAATGCCAGCACCACAAAGCACCTGCTGAGATACACGTGGGTGTCCCACGCACGCACGAAATGCCAAGAATCAACCAGTTTCAGTGTTGCTGAGTTGGCTACTGGGGTCACACGAGTACTCCCAACACGCAGGGCTGCCCACACAGCCCCCTGGCCGGTACTTACACTCAGACATGCACAAAACCCCCCTTGTTTCGGGGTTACCCCGGGAGAAAATCCCTCTGTCCTAACAGGAGGAGAAAGGTGCAGGGCCTGGGCTGCAAAGAGCCACACGGAGTGGATCCACCAGCAGGAGCAAGGGCAGGGATCCCTGCTCTGCTCCTCCAGCTCCACCTGGCACACAAAGCAGGAAATAAAGGGGTTTTTTTAGACCTGCAAAGCTACTGCAGTCACCAGAGGTGTCCACATTTTTATGGGCGGGTCAGACCTTATACGGCCATTTACCTTACCCCAAGGTCAGCCAGTGTGCTAGGCTCCAAACACCAGGCTGCACGAGCAGGGACAAGCACGGAGCAGGGGAATGACTCAAAGCACAGCATTTCAGTAGTGCTCATGTGCCAATGCAGAAATACTGAGTTCTCAGAAGAAATTGGCTAAGACATATAGATTAAAAAAGAGAGTCAGTTTTCCTGTTAGTGCATGAAGAGTGCCTTCCACCAAAACGAACGTGTTGGGGCACGGCTGGGGCTGCAGCAGTGCTGCAACGAGCTGCTCAACCCCACGCTCTTGTCAAAGTCATGGTTTTTGGCCAGAGCCCATTACCAAAGAGCACTCCCCGTGATCTTTAGGAGCTTGATGCCTTCCAGAGAAGCCCTAAAGACAACGTATATAACAAGCTGATGAAGCAGCTTTAAGCAAGAAAGAAAAAGCAGATCCAGCCATCCAGTTTGGTAAAAGAGAAAAGGCTCTATGGGCAACTGAACGGATGTGTTTGGTTACGGGACAGAGCAGCAGACCTCCCTAAGCTGCCTCAGCTTGGAAGCTCTCCTGTTAGCGTAAAGTGAAGGAACCGATAAAACAGACACAAAACGGGGAAAAACAAACAGAAAAACAAAAAAGAAACAGCGATTCCCACAGAGCAGTTTTCTCAGTATCACTTACATAACCTGCTCCACATGAAGCCTTGAGAACTCTGAGGTTGCTTTGACAAAAACTAGAAGCAGAGACCCAAAACTGGAAGCCCTGGGAAATGGGATCTCCAGACAACACAATCCACAAACCCAGCGGCAGGGGTTTTTTCAGTCATTCTGCAGTACAAAAATTATACCACTTGTCTATGAAAATGTTAGGGCTCCCCCTGCTCCAATTCTGATACTAGTATCAACTATTTAATCTGACTTTAAATAGTTTTAATAGGAATTTAAAAAAATCAGAAATTCTATAATTCATCAGTGCCCTGCTATATGAACATTCAGAGCTAAAAATATTTTGCATGTAGTTAGCCAAATACATTTGTAGTATCTAAAAAACTTACATAAGCAACAACAAATGCTATGAAGTAGTTAAAATTTAAATCCATGCATAATTTTAAGGTGGATTTTCACTCAACAGCCTTTTAGAATATACTGCAGCCTAAGTGTTAACACCTCTTTTTTTATTTTTTTTTAAATGCAAATATTTCCTAAGACTGCATTTAAAATATTCCAAGAATGCAATCATTAAAGCTGCGGTCACTAATTACATAACTGCATTTTAAAAGATGGTATTATTCAGTCTCTCCCCCCTAAAAGATACTTGAAGGCACTAGTATACAAACTATTTGCCTGCAACGTTGAAGAGAGCCGGTAAGCTCTACGTAGTGTCCAAAATTTCTGTTTCTTCTCTGCACTCTGGAAGAGCTTCGGGCAGCTTATCCTGCCCCAAGCTCTACAAACAAATGAAAAACAAATCCCAAACCAAACATCCAGTCCAAGTCCTGTGGGAACCTCCCTCGCTGAGCCTCAACTTGGACTGGACCTCCGCGGCCAAGTTATAAACCCCTGAAAATAGGGGAGGAAGGGAGAAAACCCCAAACTGACAGAATCCTAACTATAGGAGCACCCCTTGTGCCACTATAATAAGAACTGAGGTAACAGCAGAGTTGTTTCTAGTTTGCTATGTTACACAGACTTTCAAATCGAGTATTACCTCAATGTTAAAAAAGAAACCCAAACCAAAAGACCTCACAACAAAGCAGCCCCCCACAAAACAGGAGAAAAATTAAGACAAGCTAGTGAGATAGGCGTTATTAAAGGATCTTTATAGCTGACTTCTGCTTTTTAAATTAATATAAAGGAATCAGTTTCTGGTTGTACTATTGTTTAATGTAGAAACATCACAAAAAAGACCTGTTGTGCTTTTTGGCATATTCCGCTGACCCCTGCAAACTGTACAAGAAGTTGTGTTCTCCAGAAACATAAAATTGAACTGGATTGTAATACAAAACCATCAGCTGGTATAAACAAGTTACTGCCTCAATTATTAGAGTAAGCCCATTCAAAAAGGAAAATAAGATGGCTGCAGCAAATATTTAAGCATTTCTAGTTTTCGCTTGTGGCATTGACATTAATATCCGTATAAGCTTACTAGCTAAAGACATGCCATCGCAACTGCTAAAGAACGTTCACTTCCTAGTTTTGTATCTATTACATGAATATAATTTTGCACTGATCATACATCTAAATGAAATAGTTCTACCGTAAAAGTGAATGCACCGGCAGAAATATTAAAGCCACTGGTCCAAAACTTTTTCTAGCAGGCTGGTCCACTTCTGATTTTCCTGGTCCTGTTAGAAAGATTAGCACTCTTGGTTGGTACCAAAGAAAACTAAGATTGCTGGTCTACTGGATCTTCTATCACTTACAGATGAACACTGGTCCAGTTCAGGAGTTTAAAAACAACATACGGTGATCACTCACTTAACACCCTACTGTGGCTCACAGAGTATGTTGCTTTCCAAAGTGGTGCTTTGCCACTTTTCTTCCTAAGGCAGCAGCCAAGGCTAGGGCATTCTCCCTTTTCTTAAATGTTTGTGGTGACCTCTGCTACAATGCAACTGTAGAAAGCCCTTTCTTGTATGACTTCTCATAGGACAGCATGTATTCTATTTGTCAGGAGAAAGCTCTCGATGAAACCTTCCATTCATAACAAGAAAGCAACTCTTTTGGACTCAAACGGTTTTATTTAATGTTTTCTTGCAGACTTTCTGCAGACTTTCTTTTGAAAGAAGAGAGAGAGACCGGGTTTTCCGGAATACCAAGTTCAAAATCTGAGCCGAACTAAACATGCCATACACATGCTGATAAGAATTTAACACACATTCATCCGTATGGGCACTCTTCAGTAGACTGGACCAGTGTTTCAATACAAATTCCCGCCCCCAGAGAACTACATGGTTTAGATTTCACAGTACGACTTTCCCCTGTAATCTGGGGAAAAAAAAAAAAAAAGAAAAAAGAAAAAAACAAAAACCCTTAACTGGTTAATTGCCCAAGTTCCTTAGCTACTCTGTCCATCAACGTTCTGAGACATGAGAAAAGACTGGACCACTTCTTCAGTGGATTGAGGGCTGGTGCTTACGTCCTCCAGAGCATCTGTAACTGAGAACTGCCGATCCCGCAACCGGTTCCAATTGGCCAAAATATTGTGATACTCAAAAACCTTCTCATAATTGCCAATGGAATTGTACAGTTTAATGAGACCTCTGTAATCATATTCAAGTCCACTGTATCCTTCACCAAAAAGCTTCTTTCCTAAAGAAATCCAAAAGACAACAGAATGAAAAGCTAATCCACTCAGAACATTGTACTTTTTCTCATATCATTTTGTGTGTGTGATTAGCACGGTTGTCACCTTTTTGTTAGGGTGAATAATAAAATAATAAAAAAAACACAGGAACAACAGGCAAGTTTCCTGGATCAATTTATGTCAACCTTTTCCTTTGTTTTCACATAGTATCTACCACTCTTATAAACAGGACAGTTGCATCCTAATTTCAGTCCAAGTTCAGATTTAAGCACTGATGCTGGTTTTCCTGTTCTTGCTTTCCAATTATATATTTCATCATAATAAATTGTATATGCCAACCGTACAAACTAAGATTGCCTTAAAATTGATCTGCAGCATTGCCCAGAGATGCATTTAATTTGCTTTGATAGGAACAGATGGGCAAGATTTTTTTTTTAAAACTATGATATAGGAAGGCTGACAGACACAACCACTTATCTCAGAAGATAATTACAGCCTGAACTTAAGTCCCAGACAGAACTCCAAAATATAAAGACTAATACCCAAGCTTTTAATCATTCATTTTTCTCCTCAATATTTTGAGGGGTCCAAGTAAGTGGATTCTGACAAAGCACTAGAAATAACACAGATCTAGAATTCAAGCCCTAGCAGAATCTTTAGATTGAACCCACATGCAAATAAGTATGTTGCATTTCACTAAATGCAAGGTTTCCTGCAATGTCGGGACAGCAATACAGCATATATTTTAAGTACCACTTACCAATTGCTATGGATCTCAAATAAAGCTTCTCAGCATTTTCATATTGATTCATATCGTAGTTATATAGAGAAGCTAGATGTCCCACTGACAGGGCAACTTCATAATCTTCTTGACCCAGAAGCTGCTCCTTAATCTGAATTGCTTTGATGTGCATTTCTTCTGCTTCCTGTAAGGATCAATTTCACATGGGTCAGTCACAGACACCACTCATCATGCCATAAAAAGAAACAAGTTAGAAAACTGTAAGGTTTCAGGGAAAGTAACTATGCAGTGGATAAGTAGTCCATAGCATTTTATAAAATGAATAAAGCAATAATATAGCAGTAAGAAACCAAAAACGTTTCCCCAAATTCTTATTCACATTTACAATATATAATCCTACCTTAAACTTTCTCATGGACTGATACAGTCTTCCAAGGTTGCCATAGTGTTTTGCTGTTTGTACATTAAATTCCCCAAAAGCTTTCTTAGCTAACTGGAGTGAGGACAGATGCAAGTCATGAGCTTCTTGAAGTAATCTCTGCTCTGTTTCCTTGTTGTGACAGTCTATTGCAATCTCCTCCAGGATAAGTGCTGAATATAGGAGAGGAAGAAAAACCACTTTACTGTGTTCTTAACGCAGAGAGATGTTAACTGTAGGCAGCAGAAAGCCATCTACCTCTAGGGAAGATATCTAATCAGGCTTTATTTCAAACAGTTTGTAGAGAGGTATGACCAGATATCTAATGACCAACACTATCATATTTAATATTTTTACATCTTTTTTTTTTCCCCTTTATTCAAAAGTGTTCCTACCAAGTTGAAATTTTTCTTTATATTTTACAAGAAGTGCTGACAGAAAACACTGCGGACTACAATGTATTCAAGCATGAGCTCTGTTTGGCAGAGAGGAAGGAAAAAAAAAAAAGAAAAAAGAACTCACATTACCTCTGGTAGGGAACATAGCAACATATCTGAATGACTGATTTTCACCAGTAAAATATTAAAATGTCTCAGCAATAAAAAACACTACCTTTAACTCTCTTGGAAGATGCCAAGAGAAGATGGTCTTCTGGGAGAATGTGAGTTATAATGCCAATAGCACGTTCAGCATGGAATCTGAAAGAGTTCAAGTGCGCGTGTTGATTTAAAACATCATCTGACTGGTAAAAGCTTAGAAGCAGTAAGCAAGGAGGGATATAAATAAACAAATGCATTTAAATTCTAATAGGAAAGTTTACATTGTTTAAGAACATTTCTCCTTATTTAAAGAACCATATTAGCTGCCAATACCTCAGACAGCTGTACTCACAGTGCATTGTCAAATTTTCCAGAGCTGTACTGGTGAACATAAGAAGAGTAAGCCAAGTCTTCATGAGCTGTGGCTACATGTATGTTTTTACCTCCAAATACTGACTGCCGGATATCAAGAGCTGTCTGAAAGTGTTAGAGCAAACAATTTTATCAACACAGAAAACAAACCAAAAAATGCCACCACCCAAAAACCACACCTCTGAATCGCTCTCACTCTTATAAACGAAAGCAAACAAACCCCACTCTACTGGTCAGTCCCTATCTTCTGAATAGTTACAAGACATACATGCATAAAATCCACTTTAGAATCAGGGAAGAAAATAGATCAAGCCTCAAAGATTTTTAAGCCACAAGCTTTGCAGTAATTAAAGTCAATTATTAGTTGAGTAAGCATCAAGTTAAAATAGAAACATTTGAGACACCACCAATATCAGAAACTGAAGACGTTCAGCCTTACTGCATACCTGGTAGATCGCAACAGATTGGCATATATTGTCTACATTGAGCAAGTAAAATCCATAGTCTAGTAGTGTGTCAGAATATTTGGGGTGCTTGGCTCCAAAATGCTCCCTGTTGAAACAGACTTCCATTACAACTTGAGGCAAGTTATACTTAAATTTAAGAGAGATTTTGAGGAGTGCTACTTACCGGGCAAGATATACTGCGTGTTTTATCAGCTGTTCAGCCTTTTTAAATTCACGTTTTACAACGCAAGCCTAAATGGGAAAATAAAGGTCTGTATTCAAAACACACCCCCAATATTGGCCCAATTACTAAGTGCTACTGTTAATTTCAAATCATGGTTATGCTAAAGGACTTTTCAGTTATTCAAGGGAAAAGTTCATGCTCGCTGTACATCATTAACTAAAGGCAGAGCTCTTTACCTAGTCTATCTCAAAGAGGGGAACAGACAACCTCCATACAGAACGTTAACTTTCTTATCATGTTCCTTCTGGCAGCTGTAACTCACTTTAGGGGAGAAGGAAAAACGAAACCAAAACCACTGGCACGAGACAGAGATGGACCAAACAGACGAATAGGAAGCATAAGGCTCATAAAAAACCTGCTTATCCAAGAGTTCTGGAGGCATTTCCTAGCTTCATTTATTCTTGATAGTAATTTTGTTATCAAATAAATAAAGATTTTAGACTCACCTTTGAAGCTTGCCGTAAAACATCCACTACTACTTTTACGGGCAGACCAACTGTGATCTCCTTCATAGCTTCTATACACCATTTATAAGCCTTTGGAATGAAAGGTCACCAACATCATTAAAGTCAAAACTCCACTGTGTTGCAACATGAACAAAAATACTACCTGCCTCTGAGAATATACTATTGGTATTTACATTACAAACTTAAAATATGTTGCAAATTCTTATGTAAACTTGTTCAGCTAAGTCTTTAGACTTAGTTTTATAATCTTAAAGTAAACCTTACAATTCCTACTGGGGAGTACAGCTTCCTGGCCAGTATATTTAGGAGCTAAAGGAAAACTATAGTTTACACAGCAGTTAGAATGCAGTTCCAGTTTATACAGAACAGCCACAAAAATGCAATTTCTGTTCTGCTTTTCATTTTTATCTATTACAAATAGGTAAAAAAAAAAATCTTCTGTAACATTTCATTTAGAGATAATCAAAAACACTATCAATCTATATTTAACAAGATCTAGAAATTATGCCAAGTACTGTTACAGATTTAACTCTATCAGCAAATAGATAGAAGTATCACAAATTCCTCTGGTAGTGTCACATAGGTATCAATAAAAAGATGAGGAATACTACCTAGAAAGTTAATCATGAGTCATGAAGCCTCCTAGCAAATGTCATCACCAGTTTCCTGAAAAAAAAAAACCCCAAACTAACCCTACTCACCTCATCATAGTGACTTTTGGCAAAAAGCAGTGCGCACAGCTCCGCGTAGAGTGCTGCTTTGTTTGCTTGCTGACCGTGTTTTGCAAGTTTGTCCATGTAAGACTGAGCTAGTTTGAACGTTTCTTCTCCCAAGTGATATTTACAGTTACCGTTTCGAACATGTAGCAACCTTAGAAACACATGAAGAGATTGTCTAAATGGTCTCTGCATAAGCTATTTCAATACACAGTAGCACCATTGAGCTATACTCTGAACGCAACAAGCATCTTGAAGAGGGAAAGCACAACTTATCTTCTGATGTCATGACAGCTGCTTGGACCTGCACCTTCTGAACGGTGGAAGCAAGGCAGTATGTTTCGAGGTGGGCAAGACTATTGCAGAAATCTTGGATCAAATACAGAGTTAACAGCACTTACTTGTATCTACAAAACTCACCTAATTTCAGTACTCTGCACCAGGTTTTGACACTTAAATACCCACTACTGACTAAGCCCCACCAGAAAAGACTTTGTTAGCCCAGTTTACAAGAACTCCAAACAAAAACTTATCTTTCTCTCCCTCCTCTTGCTGTATCTCCTGTTCTAACCCTGTTGCCTTTCAATCTGAAGGATTGAGAGAAGCTTCAGCAGAACAGCCAAATGCAGACAAAACACACCAGTGCTGAAACATACTCCTCCAGCTGAGTAACAATTCTGGCTTCCAGAGTCTATTTAAAACAAAAGACTTCTTTTTTTTCTTCTTCTGAATGTAAGCTGATATTTACTTTAAAAGATAAACATTAGAAGTGTGTATTGTATTCCAAGCCTATTGCTGGCTAAACAAAGAAAAACCAGTTGTAGTTTCTCAACTATGAATCCCTGTCATTTAGGCATACGAAATTTAGGTAAATGCACCTGTCTCGCCCCTCCTGAAAATGTGTTATTAGGCAATGAATAATATAGGCCATTAAACACCAGGAAAACCTTTACAAATCAGTAGGACAACAAGGAAGGACAGGAAGAGAAAGGTACAGAGTGAAGCAGAAGTTACATTGAAAACAAGGGCTATACGTTTGAAACTGTAGCCGAATGTACAGCAGCACCACTTTTGTGATACTTTATGAAATATATTCAAAAAAATAGAAAGAGGGAGCAAAAGGAACAACAAGGTTTTTTTGACCAAATTATTCTCTTCTCTACACCAGAATTTGTTCTCGTTTGAGCAGAGATTTAAAAGTTACTGTAGTTACATTTCCTGCAGCAGCAAGACAAGATGGCTGAATTTGTTTTAAATACAGCCTCTAAAGCAGCTTCTTCCTACATCATCTTACAATGAAGATCTCAAATATCAACAAGAAAGGAAATCAAGCTCATGCTTTCACAAGAGTGGAGTGGCAGCCAAGCACACAGCAGATGTAAACTAGCCCTGCAAAAAGAACACCAAACAAGACCACCTTCAAAAAACCCAGAAATGAGCCACACAAACACACCAGCTTTCCAACAACCACATACATGTCACCCTGCTTCAAGAACAAAGAAAAAACATGACTGTTTTTCCGTGAAAAGCTGGAGAGAATGGAATGTGATCTTGAGAACTGAATCTGATGCAGAAATGCTAAAGACTGAGATCAAAAAAAAAAAAAAAAAAATCTAACTTTCAAGTAATAAGAGACAGGAATATTAAAGACACTGCAGAGACCAAGCAATCAATTATTGCTTTCCAAGAGAGGGAAGCGTTATTCTGACTATGGCACTCAGTTGGGAGCTGCTTTGCAACATGAAAAATACTCAGTGCAAGCCACAAGGAATGATGTAAACTAGTAGGAATAGTACTGCAATTTAGATAAGCATTTGGGAAAGATAATACCCAACATCTGGATGCTTCAGATGTTTGTTGAGAACAAAGCAAAAAAGCCCACAAAGCTAAACCTAACACAATCCTCTACAGAAGCTGAAATTTTGTTTTTTGATTTTAAGTAATCCCTCATTAAGCCAAAGAAATTCTGAAAGATAAAGTCAAGAACTAGAATAAAGGCCTCAGGACATTTATGCTAATAACTGTGCATGCTGTTTGATGTCTGCAATATTAGCCTTTCAGGGGTATTTTTTTCTTCTTCTTCTCTCCTTTTAAAATTAATTCATTCCCTAAAAGCATACAAACATACCAACGACACACTGCACATCACCTCAGGAAGCCTACAAACAGAACACATACACAAGAAAAAGTAGGATACAGGGTTGTAGAGAAGAAATCTCAGAATTTTACATTTTCTTGCATGTCACTATAATTTATTAACACAAGTGCTACAAAGAAAATAAAACCTTGCGTAAATAACATGAAACTGTGTTTCTTCACTTCTTTATACTGCAACCTATTAATAACACCTGCAAAAAAACTAGATTTTTAGTTTCAGTCAAAACCTCTGTGCTGTGTTCAGGTTACTTTTGTTTTTAATTAAAAAGAATGACTTCCAGTCTAGCAAAATCCATTAGATTTGTCCTTCTTAAACGACGACTGCAACTAACACCCTTTTGAAATAAAGCTTCCTTTTCCCCTTAATACCAGAACACTAATATTCATCTTGTATTAAGAAGACAGTCACACTCTAGCCATGAGACAAACACCCAGAAAGCTTGGGAGTTGATTTCAGGGCACGAGTGATGCACAGGATGCAGCACATACTGCCAGAACGGTATGGCAATACGGCTAAATACGGTAACTAAAGGCAGAAACACAGCTAGACACATAGGTTCATATTAAAAAAAGAAATTTGACCTCCAAAGTGTAATTACTTTGCCACATTAGTAGTTGTTATTTCTCCTTTCCTTACTTGTACTAAGGATCTTTTAGTTCCTATGCTTTGGCTTTTTTTATTCTTTACTTCTTACAACTTGACTGCATTTCTATGTATTTATTTGCCTATTAGCAGTTATACATGCTTGGAAAAAAGTTTCAAGACATTAAAAACAAACCTGGGGAATCCCTGCATGCTCAGCAACTATTAATCTTTGTGCAGCCTCTGTACTTAAGTTTAGAAATGTGATTTTTAGACTGCCCTTTTGTCAAAATCTGGACTTAAATTTTGTTCACTTAAAATTCCATTTCTAACACAAACAGTGGTAGGAACAGTATATCCTACTGTAGAGATTAGAGGATCAAAGCAAAAAGTTTCTTATTGCCTTGTGACTTGGAAGCTGAGAAAAAAAATACTGATCTCCCCACGAAAGAGTTTCAGAATTTAATTTACATACTTAGCACTGGTGAAAGTGTTCCACATTCTTGCCATCTGATGCATTTCCAACTGAACTAGGCTGCTATTTGATTGTCTGAGAGATGCCCCAACACAGAGCAGTGTCTCCTCATTCCCACCATTGCCGGAGGGATTCAATATTCTATGCAGGCCATCAGTCCTCATTACAGGAACAATGGGTGTCTCTGCACAGGCAGAATTAACAGCTACAGTTCAGGGGAGCTCACTCCAACTTTTTTTTCTTTTTTTTTTTTCTCCCTAGCACAATATATTGGAAGTTCTTTCCACAACTTACAGGCTGTAACATTCCTGTCCAAAGGAAAAAAGCTTACCTAGGGCTAAACCCATTTATTTCCTCTATCTTTGGGGAAGGAGAGGGAGTTGATCTTTTAAGGTATTTTTTTCTTGCCAGACAGCCCGATACAATGTGGAAGTTTTCTTTACACCAATTAAAAGGCAGAGAACATTGTCTCACTAAAAGATGCTATTTGTCTCCATAATCCACCAATAGACTCAGATCATCCTCTTGCACAAAGAATGTGGTGGCGATTCCTACACCCATTCCCCATAAAAGCTAAAGAAACAGCAACCTTATTCACAAGAGGTAGGAGATACAGCAAGTTTGCAGGCGACCCTAACCACCCTAGCACTAAGCTGGGAGGAAATGAAGCACGAGAACCTAACATGATAGAAATAAGCAAGGGAAAAAATCCTTTATTGGTTATTTTCCTATGCATCAACAGGAGGCTGCCCAGTACTGGCCAAACACAAAGAATTCCCCACTCCTATATGTGTCCTGCCTCCTCAGGGCATCTTATTTATGGCAGGAAAGTGAGTGGCAGCAGGCAGAGCTGAACAGGGCAGAGCAGTGCTTGTTGCCATGGCCCTCTGGTTGGCACATAAAGGAAGTAGCTGTTGGCAAAGCCCACTTGCTCTTCCTATTTGTCTAGCCATAAAAAGTAGTTGGAAAGCCTTTGCAGCAATTTCCCAAGATAAGTTTGGCCCTATATTCAAATAAATACTTGATGTACTTTGTCATTCATTAGCGCAGATTAAAACAAGAAAATCCTATTTTAACTATGCCCATTAATACTGGGGTGCTCAAGCACACACTTGTAGCACACGTAAGAGCGCAGTCCCAGCTCTACCAGCGGAATCCACTCAGCTACTTGCTGCAGATCATCAGTGTAACCCTTGTCTGGATACACAGCTGCAACATTAACAGCTTCGATAGCTCTGTAAGGAAGTCACGCACAAGCCTGATCCGACAAATCTCTCCTTATCTGGGAAAAGCTTATTCCTTAGGCTTTATACTAAGCACGTGTTCATTTTTTTTGAACTGTTTCCTTGTATTTTATTGATGGAGCTTCCCAAACCTTCTGGCAGTTTTGCTGACCAAATACTGCCACTTTCTAAAGATCAGATTTTCATAGAACAAAAAACAAACCAAAAAGGCTGCAGTATTTCAAAGAGCTTGATTAAATACTGCATCAGCTCAGCTTTACCTAGCTTGTACGATAGGTGACTTTAAAAAGTGCTGTTCTGTTGTTAGCTTTCGATCATAAAATCTAGTTCCTGTGCTTCAAACACAACAGGGATATTACACAAGGACAATTGGTTGCAGCAGGTATAAAAGTCAAGAGAGTGTCCTAAAAATAAAAATTATATTCCAAGTTGTGGATCTTTGAAGGTGTCCACAAGAACTGGACACCTGAGTATTTACATAAGTATTCAGCTAAGTATCTCAGCATGGAGCAAGGGAACTCTTTGGGTCTGGTTTCAGGAAAAATGTGCTTTCCTTTTCTGTTCCAATTCTGCATACCTGTATCACTTGCAAATGTATTTGGATTTAGCAAGTACCTCTTATTAAATGTCATCTCAGTAAACATCAAACACATAACACCTCTTCAAGTGCAAAAAGCTTTGAAGGCAGCGATACCAGATCACCTTCACTGTCTAGCACCTGCTATACTGTAGAGAAGGCAAAGTTTTCACACTGTGCTGACATTTTACGAGTAAGAAATCCAGAGATCTTGTAAAAGGAAACACTTTTGACCTTCAGCACTAGCCAGGAAAGTTCTGTGGTGCCCCCAAACACAGAGAAGGGCACCTGAAGCTTGCTGATGCCACTGTAGTCAGTAACATGCATTAACTGACGTTTCACAGCAAGACGTACGGGAATCAGCAGGGAGCTCACCTCACACAGCACTCTACTGCGCGGAACCAGTGGAGAATTTCATCGTGAAGGGTGCATAACTGAAGGCAGGAAAGAAATACCTTCTCAGCATCACTATACCATCCTGCATCTGATAGGAAGCCCCCTGGAAATTCAACAACAAACAGAATTTTGAGTAGCAATCCACTATTTTAAGAGAACAGGAGTTTACTCAAAGCTTTCTTATATTTCACTGCAAATAAAGATAAAAGAACAGGAATACACGAGTTCACTATTTCCCATGCTGAAATACAGAAAGTCATTGCCAAGCAACTTAAAGAGGGGAGGAAAACAAAACAAACAAACAACCTGAGAGCAAGGGAAGCATGTTTCTGCTCTTACAAAGCAGTTTTACAAAATGTCACAGAACTACATACTATGTACGAGAATTCTGTCAGGAGTTCTAGTCCTGAATTGAAAGTTCATCGCAAAAAGTCTTAGCACTGTTTAAGCATTACATCTACAAACAATTCTTTTATATATTTATAACAACAAAGATAAGTCCAAAAGCTCATATATAATAAAATTGGATATCAAGGAGTTTTCTAAAAATTGTATGTCAAACACACATTTCTTTAAGAGAAATCAGTCATAAAAAAAAGGGGAGAAAAAATAGCTTAACTGAGGCTTGCATGAAAGAAAGTGTAATACTTAACAGCCTATCATCCCCAGTTACCTAAAACAAAGCCAATCTGGATTGCTTTTTCTTTTACAGCAGAATCAGATTCTGCTATGTATGAGCATCGTCTACTGAAAGAATAAGCCAGGACAGAAGCAACTTTAACTCCATGGTCCATCAAAGCTTGAAAACAATGATGAAGCAGATGTCTGAAAAATATAAAAAAAGAATAGGTTACATATAAAAATATTTAAAACATTCCTATCAGTTGACTCTTGAGCACCATGAATTCAAGCGCGTAGTGAATCAGAAAGGACTCCAAAGCTCTCCCAAACCAAAACCAGATGAATACAAGTGTAAACTGTCAAGCTCAAGGCTAATGAGTTTCAGTCGCTGGACCAACCAAAAAATAAGTGACTGAACACATAGTTCTTTACAAGCCCATCCTCCAGTAGAAGCAAAAGGCAAACAATGCACACATTATTAGAACTGGAAAACAACATTGTCAGCTAAAACTTTAGGAGGAAAAGTATCAGGTTTAGCCTTACCCCACGACTCTCAAAGAAGTAGCAGATAAACGCGTAGGGAGGAACCCATGAAGAGCAGGAATTTTCACTACCAAGGGAAGGACTTTGGGAACCAAGTACGTTGGCACATTTATCTAAGTTTTGATTTTTTTTTAATTATTTATTTGTTCATTTATTTTTTGGGTCGGGGCAGAGAGACAGGAACTAATTTGAAAGCTTTTCAGAAAATCTGAGGAGATATTCCTATATTTATCATATAGGCTAGAAAACCGTGAAAGTTATAGACATTTTTCAAAATTTTAACTCAGACCAAGGAGTAAAAGTTGAAATGAGAATTATTAATACATTAAAATATCTTACCTTTTATCTAAAGCTCGTAGCACCTTAGCAAAAACTTCTAGTTCACAAAATTCACTACCCAGCTGACATAAGCGGCCCTGTTGGTAGAGCTGGGGGAAAAAAAAAGAATATATATATATATATGCATTTAAAAACTTAAAACTTAAAAAAAAGGGGGCACACTCATACACACCAATGTTTACAAATACTACAGTATATATCATCTTGGACATCAGATCCTTTGAATACATTTTTAAATGGCACAGAACCTAACACTCAACAGGGTAAAAACACTTTAGGAGATGTATAAACAAAAACGTATAACCCAAGCCAGCCAGCATAAACGTGAGCAACAGAAAAAACATATAATGCTGTGATCCTAGAAAGTGCCAGCACCTCTAGAACAAAGGTGTAACCAAACAAAAAGGCACAAGTTGAGTATTGGTGACTCACCAATATCTGCAGGTAAATACCTGCATTATTTCTGACCCCATTAACACTTGAGCTTACAAGAGCAATTCCTGCTTCAGCAAACGGGAAAACTTGGATTAATTTGTTTGTACATTTATTAAAAGCAATACCTAGTTTCATGCCCAGAGTGATTTGTCTCTGCAGATAAGCAAATATATTACCTCATTTGGTTTGCTCAGAAAAAACAAATGGTGGAGACAGTTCTGAATGCAAAATACAGCTAAGTTGCAGAACTCGCTGCCACGTGCTAGCATAAATTCCAAGACCTTACATAGATACAAAATACATGTCAGAAAAGTTCATTATGGTATACTAAATCCTGACCTTGGAGCTGTATCTTGAAGTCTGCCAAGGTACAATGCTGGATTACATGGAACATGAGACTACTTCAGACATCCATTTTGTTTCTTTTAAACACATAAAACAAACACCTGAAATAAGCACTTGTCAATACTGCTTTCCAGATTGTATTTTTCTCTCTCAAAGTGAGATCACTGTTATAAACTCCAGTGGAACAGACACATTGTTTCCAAAGGAAAATGGACACTGTGGATGCCACTTTTTTTTCCTCTTGTGAGGTAGTAGCTCCCTGGGGAACAACCAGCAGGATGAGATCCCTATCACAGGGAGCTGTCTCTAGGCACCGCGTCTTTCACTGCAGGCTGTTATTCAAAAAATCCTATCTTTTAATACACGTGATCCTTAAGCCATTCAAATAGTGTCCAGGAGCAGCATTTTCCTATCAACAGTAAGACACACTGTGCTACCTGAGCAGATTTTACAACTATGAGCAACTTCCAGATTAAGAGTGTGACTCTTTTTCCCCCCTCTAAGGAAACAAACAAACAAAAAACTACTAAGTGAAGGCCAAGAGAGGAGAGAGTTATTTGCTTATGGAAACGCTTAAGGACAAAAGACGCATTTAATGAAAACTTCGATAAAATATTCCTCTCAAGAGTCTCAATAAAGAATTCTGTGATAAGAACTGCAACATGCATCCGGCATCTGTCTCCCTTACCTGACATGGAGCTGGACCAAGTCAGATTGAAAACAAAGCCTGTGAGAACTTCCCTTCCATATAGAAAATTTTTGTTCAACTGCTCTTATAAAAGCACATGACACTGATTTTACATCACAGCAGGATTGTTATTTTAAACAAAGAATCTAAAAGAAATCTTCCAAAATACTTTGACCTAATAATGTCAATTGCCACAAATGAATGCTCTGATTTTAGTCATCTCCTTTACCAGAAAGAAAAGAAGCCCTTTAAAGCACGGTGCAATCCTGCATACATGGTTATTTTTCAGATAAAATGGTGCCTTGTCCCTGTACGTCAAAAGATCAAAAATTTCTTCTGAAGCTATATCCTCCCTGATAGCAAAAGAACGGTCAGTCCACTGTTTTTTTAAAAAAAAATAAAAATAACAACTATTGTTATGCTAAGTGCTCTCATTTTCCTCAACAGAGCTGCCTAAAGAAAATTATTTTAAAATTCACAAAACATTTTCTGGATAAACAAAACAAAATGCCTAGCATTTCAGGTCCAAAACATCTATCTGATAACTGATAAGTTAACCTGTAAAAGAAACTAAGACATATACCTATATTACCAGCAGTTAAATCAAAAATACTATCATATATCCAATATTTAAGTATTTAAATATTCGACTGAGTACATTAGTATTTCCTTTATCTTGTAGAACAACTAAAAATGCAGATATTCTAAAACTAGTTTACCAAATACTACCTGTAAGAAGACTTTTCAGAATTAATGTTACTTACAGAGTTAGATAAGCATGCCTTGTAAGTACCCACTGTTACTTGAGATTTTTAAATTGCTAACGAATCTTTAAAAATGCACTCATTAAAAGGAGGGAGGAGGAAACAACAAAACACAGAAATAAGGCAACACCTCTCGATAATAATATACAGACATACCAATTTTAGCACAGAAATAATTATTTAAGAACCCTGTAGAACTTAAGGCCCCACAAATCTGTCTTTCCATCTCAGAGGTAAACACTTGCCCCATTCTAGCATGCAAAAAAGCTACTTCCCCCCACACTGGTATAACCAGAAATACAGAATCCTTTGGATATTTACCACATTATTCACCCCTTCCCTCCACATCCTGGCAGACAATCTTATGGAACTAACTCAAAGTCTCTTGAAACTGTTGTAGCTGTTACAGCAGATTTTTCAAACAATCAGACATGGAAATAGTGAGTAGATGTCAAACCATGAAGCAATTCCAGGAGATTCAGTAACGTTCATTTGTTCATTGAGAAGCAGTTGCGTACTTAAGAAACGGTTCTTGTTAAAGCTCCAGAGAGACAAAATTCCTGACCACAAGCATTGCTACATAACATGAAAAACAAAACAAAACAGCGATTCAAGAAAAACATCCCCTGACAAGAATGGTGGAGGTTTGAACTTCTGAAACGACATTCACTTCTTAGAATAAATGAATATCTTTCAGACACAATCTTACAATATTTGAAGTTCAGTGGAGATTTTTAATGCTATAGAAAATTGAGCGTGAGCCTAGGATATTACTTATACGTCAATATATTTTTGAAACATTAGTTCTGGCCCTGAACACATGAATCAAGGTATAATCTTAATATAGTGGCTTATTATTATACATGCACACAAATTATTTCATAGAACTACAAGAAAAACGTTATAAAGCTCCTCCGCTATTGTAATTCCTAACACATTGTTCTAAACATTCAAAAGCTGTGTATGGTGGTGCTCCCAATCAAATACATTAATTACATTGACTTTAACTTATCTATTGTTACATATTGCACTCGGTTCTGCTGAGGTTCTTGTCACATTTCTCTCTGGATAGTTTAAGTTGAGTATGACCTACATCCTAGCAAGCCTCTGAAAATAAAGACAAAGATATGTTAAAAGGCCAGTAAAAGCAAGGGGGAAAAAAAAAGGCAGGAGTGGGGGGAAGAAGCTTTATGATATCTGTATCACAAGCATTTTGGTCTGTTCTATTGTGCACAAGAGTGAAGACTCTTTTTTTCTAAGACTAATGAGAAAAAAAACAGTAATTTAAAAAACCTCACAAAGAGATTAACTTTAAACAGCTTTTAAAGGACCCTCTAGAACATAATGCGTAACATATGCAAATAAGAAAATAACCTCAAATTGCTCCAATTTGGAGGACTACTAAAAAAA